ATTTTTTTTTTTTTTTTTTTTTTTTTCCTCTCTTTTTGCTCCAGGCTCGAGATTTTCTCGACCTGCTAGTTTTTCATTTCTTTCTCTTTTCAACTTGTCATCAGCTTGATGGCTTTTCTATCCTTTTTCTCTCCTCCCTCACATACTAACCCAGTTACTACTAATTCCTCTCATTCACTACCTGATATAAAAGACTTCAAATACTAACACTGAGCTCACTTGTGATTAAAAGTTGGCTTACTTATCGGACCTCGTGGAAATACCCTCAAGAAAATGGAGACCAAGTCCGGAGCAAAAATTGCTATCCGAGGAAAAGGCTCTGTTAAAGAGGGTAAAGGACGATCTGACGCCGCTCACTCTAGCAACCAGGAAGAAGACCTTCATTGTCTAATCATGGCAGATACGGAAGACAAAGTTAATAAGGCCAAGGAACTTATTCACAATGTTATCGAAACGGTATGTCGTCCAGTTCCCCCAATACACCAGTTAAATACAATTTTTCAAGAAAACTTCTAACTAATTGTTCTTTAGGCTGCTTCTATTCCTGAAGGGCAGAACGAACTGAAGAGGAACCAGCTGCGCGAACTTGCTGCGCTTAACGGAACTCTACGTGACGACGAGAACCAGGCCTGTCAAAACTGTAAGTCACACAAAATACCTAAACTTAAACTAACTCTATTATATGATACCTAACACTCTCTGATTTTCAGGCGGTCAAATTGGCCATCGCAAGTACGATTGTCCCGAGCAGCGTAACTTCACTGCGAACATCATCTGTCGTGTTTGTGGAAATGCTGGGCATATGGCCAAGGATTGTCCTGACCGTCAGCGTGGTACCGATTGGCGCAACCATGGACCCAGCGTTCGCGGCAAAGGAGCTGGAGCTGGTGATGCAGTTGACCGAGAGATGGAGGTAAGTTTTTTTCCATCTCCTACCCACATTTGATACAAACCTATACTAATACTTCACTACTAGCAACTTATGCAAGAACTCTCCGGCAATGCTCCTCTACCTGGTGGTGAAGCACAGAAACGCATTGAAGGTGGCCCTGGAGGATATGGTCAAGGCAGCAACAGCTACAATGGCGATGACGTGAAACCATGGCAACAGCGTGAGCCTGCCAGCAACACTCCACCATGGCAACGACGTGATGATCGAGCCCGAGATGATCATGGCCATCATGACCCGAATGCTCCTCCACCATGGGCTACTGGTGGCCATCGAGGTGACCGAGGTGACCGAGACAACCGAGACCATCACGGTTACCAGGGGCGTGACTCTTACAACCCTGCTCCTGCCGCCGGTGGCCCTCCTCCATGGCAGCAAGCTGCGCAGCAAGCTCCAGCTATGGCCCAAACTGCTGCTTATGGATACGCTGGATATCAGTTCCCTACAAATCAAGTTATGGGCGCACCACCTGGCCTTAGTGGCATCCCTCCACCCCCACCTGGAATGGCTTCTATGTTCGCTGGCTTCCAGGGCGCTCCTCCGCCGCCTCCTCCGCCAGCTGATGGCCCACCCCCTCCTGTGAGTTCACACGGCTTTGCAGCTATATTTTACAGAAACTAACGTCTCCTTCAGCCTCCAAGTGAACAGCCTCCACCCCCACCTCCGCCTTCGGCCTAATTCCGACCTAACCCCAGAGACGTGAAGAGATTTTCTTAGGAGTGTCTAAATACTAACCACTAGTCATGCCTTTTGTTTTGTCGTCATTCAGATTTTCTACTAACAGCCTGTTGGCAGCAGTTTCTTGTGCCCTGAGGGGATATCATACCTGAAATGGCTCCTGTATCCGGATTATTGTTACTAACTGGGCTTATGTGTAATTTTAAGGGAAAATGATGTCTGTATTCTTAGCTATCTCTTCAGAAGCTGTATTTGCGAGAAGCATTCACCAAGCTTCAAGTCGTTCCATATCTCGTAGCATTAACTACGCTAGTTATGAATTAAGCTGGGTGTAAAGGTTCTGTCTAGCTTCCAGTTCATCCAATGGTTACTGCCGGTGTACGTTTTTCCGACGCCTCGCGGTGTAGTTACCTAGCAGACTCAATCTTCAGTCTTGGTAAATTTCTTCTGTTTCCCATTCCAGCGGGAAACCAGCTGCATAAAAGAACCAATGCCTCTGGTTCAGTTGCAACCCGGATAGTGGATCAGCATATATTAGAGTTGCCTGATATTCCTGTAATTCAAGAACACCATGACAGCGCAAGCGCCCGATGGTGAAGTTCAGGCGGCAACAACGGCTGCTGCGGCATCCAACACGAGATGGTGGAAGATTCGTTACTTCCAGGGAATGAAAAATGACATTAGAAGACGAGCACCATATTATTGGAGCGATTGGAAGGATGCATGGGACTATCGTGTCATTCCGGCAACTGTATACATGTTCTTTGCAAAGTATGACTCCAGTTGATGCCCTTAACGATGCTTGACATCGCTAGTCCCTTTCTCTCACTCCCTATCCACAAGGCAGAAGCTTACGCGGAATGTGTGAAGTATTCTGCCGGCTCTTGCTTTCTCGCTTGATATGTTCGAGAAGACGCATATGAGCTATGGCGTCAATGAGGTTCTTCTAGCATCCGTTCTAGGTGCTGTTGTTTTTGCTTTCCTGGCTGGACAGCCCCTGGTTATTGTTGGTGTAACAGGTCTGTGTATATTCCGTGCTACAATTGATAGTATTTTATGTCTAACCATGAATTATAGGCCCTATCACAGTCTTCAACTACACGGTATATGATATAATCGCACACAGAGGGACTAACTACCTGGCCTTTATGTGTTGGATTGGAATGTATGCAGGTCTTTACCCTATGTCCGTAAATATATATTACTAACAAATCATTGTAGCTGGTCACTTATAATGCATTGGGTTCTTGCAATCACAAATTCCTGTAACGGGCTGACCTTCGTCACAAGATTTTCCTGTGATGTATTTGGGTTCTACGTTGCCTTTATCTATATCCAAAAAGGGATCCAGGTCCTTACCAGGCAGTGGGGAATGGCCGGGGAAACATCTGCATATCTCTCTATTATGGTGTCCCTCCTCGTTCTGATGTCTTGCTTTATCTGCGGTGCTATCGGGGAGAGCAATTTATTCAACCGCCATACTCGGAAGTTTATCGAGGACTATGGCACCCCTCTAAGCATCGTCTTTTTCACAGGTTTCGTCCATATTGGTCAAATGAGGAATGTCAATGTTGAAACATTGCCTATTTCTAAAGCATTTTTCCCTACCTCCGATCGTGGTTGGCTTGTGCATTTCTGGGATATTAGTGCTAGCGACATCTTCCTAGCCATCCCATTTGCAATCCTCTTGACAGTTCTCTTTTATTTTGACCACAACGGTTTGTTCGATCATTTCTCATTTACCTATCACCAATTAATTTGTGGAAGTAAATTTCTGACACTATTTAGTGTCCTCATTGATAGCCCAGGGAACAGAGTTTCCGCTACGCAAACCTGCCGGATTTCACTGGGATTTATTCTTGCTAGGGTTGACAACCGGGATAGCCGGGCTCTTAGGTATTCCCTTCCCGAATGGCTTGATTCCCCAGGCACCGTTCCATACTGCCTCTCTTTGCGTAACACGGCAGGTTGCAGATGAAGATGAAAACCACAAAGGAAAGTCTGTCCGGATTGTTGATCATGTTGTTGAGCAACGAGTCAGCAATCTCGCTCAGGGGCTGCTCACACTCGGAGCAATGAGTGGGCCCCTTCTTTTTGTCCTCCACTTGATACCCCAGGCTGTAATGGCTGGTCTCTTTTTCATCATGGGAATTCAGGCTCTCCTAGCCAATGGAGTAACGCAGAAGTTGAAGTTCCTTTTGCAGGATAAGGAATTGACATCATCATCAAACCCATTTCTAAGAATTGAGCGGAGAATGGCAGTCTGGGTATTCGTTGGAATTGAACTACTGGGATTTGGAGCTACTTTTGCAATTACGCAAACAATTGCTGCAGTTGGGTTTCCAGTTTTCATTCTCTTACTTATCCCCATTCGCTCATTCCTGCTTCCAAAATGGTTCACCCAGAAAGAACTATCCATTCTTGATGCGCCAACCGCCAGCTCGTTTACCATGGAGAGTGTTGGCGGGTCATATGGAGATGCTCTGCCTGAATCCAACAGAAGTCCTCATAATGGCGAAGAGATGCCTGTGGTAGAGGGCGGGATTTTTGCAGGTGACCTAGAAACCGGAGATCTACACGAGCCACAGACAAGCACTTCCATTAGAAGAAGGAGTTGAACGTATATAAAGCGAAGCGTTTATAGAATACAGGCATAGGCATCGGATGTTGATGTTTGTTCTACCTATTTCGCTCCGAGTCCCATTAAACTTTCATTACCTAAGTCATTATTAATACAGTCTCGGAAGGGTATTATTATTATGCCGGGGGTTTGTTATTCAGCCGAAAAAGTAGTGCAAACAATGCAAACAAACCAAATACTGCCAAAATATCAGCGAAACTTTATTATATATTCACCGCTTTCGACTAAAAAATTATTTTTCTGCCGCGAGCATCTCAAGATTAAAAAAACGAAAAAGAAACAACAGTCGAAAGCAATGAAGTTGACGAGCAGTTGGGGATCTCGGAAGAGCTGCAGAAGAATACACTGAAATGGCTGGTATGCTACCCGCAAGCTCGGATCCCGAGGACTCGCGCTCTGAGTCCTCGTCCGTTGCGCAAGATGAGAGAGAGACCGATGGACAAGATGAACGGCCGCAAAAGCGACGACGGCTATCAGATTCCTCTGGAGACTTCCCGATAGCTCCAACAACACCATTTCCGGTCCAGACCCTATCACGAATCAAAAAGAAGGAGGTGAAGAATGAAAGACAGGAGGAGTCTGCATCTCAAGCCGACCCAATTACCGCTAATGATGCGTTCGCAATGGGGCTTCAGTCCGTAGATTCTTCATTTTCTTCTTTGGGACTTGCTCCATGGCTGGTCAGCTCACTGAAGGCCATGGAAATCAAGCGGCCGACGGCGATTCAAAAGAGCTGTATACCAGAAATAATTAAGGGAAGGGATTGTATAGGCGGTAGTAGGACCGGTTCTGGTAAGACTGTTGCATTTGCAGCTCCAATACTGCATAAATGGTCTGAGGATCCGTTTGGAATATATGCTGTTATTTTAACCCCAACAAGGTACGGATATTTACATGAGATAAAAATACTTGTATTATGATACTGATCCTTAATTTAGAGAGCTTGCTCTTCAAATATTCGAACAGGTTAAAGCCATTTCTGCGCCGCAGTCGCTTAAGCCACTTTTAATAACTGGCGGCAGTGACATGCGGCCTCAAGCGATTGGTCTCTCGCAGCGGCCCCATATAGTTATTGCGACGCCAGGCAGGCTCGCGGACCACATTAAATCATCTGGAGAAGATACTATAATTGGATTAAAGCGTGTCCGGATGGTAGTTCTCGACGAAGCGGATCGCCTTCTTACAAGCGGCCCGGGGAGCATGCTTCCTGATGTAGAGACATGTTTATCTGCCCTGCCACCGTCTTCGGATCGTCAGACTCTTCTTTTCACAGCCACAGTTACTCCTGAAGTACGCGCGTTGAAATCGATGCCTCGAGCAAAGAACAAACCGCCGATCTTCGTTACTGAAATATCCACGGAAAACACAACGATACCCCCAACCCTAAAGCAGACATATCTCCAAGTGCCCCTGAACCACCGCGAGGCATTTTTACAAGTTCTTCTGTCCACAGAGGGAAATTCCTCCAAGTCTACCATTATTTTTTGTAACCGAACAAAAACAGCGGATCTATTGGAGCGCATCCTTCGCCGGCTATCACATCGAGTCACTTCACTTCACAGTCTCTTGCCCCAATCCGAACGAGTTGCCAACCTTTCGCGTTTCCGCGCTTCGGCGGCTCGGCTTCTGGTGGCAACTGATGTAGCGGCTCGTGGTTTGGATATTCCTTCAGTTGGGCTAGTCATCAACTATGATGTTCCCAGGAATCCGGATGATTATATCCACCGCGTTGGTCGTACGGCTCGAGCTGGGCGAGAAGGTGAAGCTATAACGCTCGTGGGACAGAGAGATGTCCAGCTCGTTTTGGCAATTGAAGCCCGAGTTGGTAAACAGATGGTAGCATGGGAGGAACCAGGGGTGAATATTGAATCTCGAATCGTCAAGGCCACAGTCTTGAAAGAGGTTGGCTCTACAAAACGAGAAGCGATGGGTGAAATTGACGAGGGAAGAGATGTACTTGGCCGCAGAGTCAGAAAATTGAAAAAGGTCCGGTAGTATGACAGCAGACTCTTGGGTAAACCAGTCAAATCGCCCATTTTATATCTATTTGTATACCCCTCTTAAGCAATTGCAAACAAATTCGACACTTACCTACAGCTCATTTTCGAGCTGCCTTTATCCTCCGCTTTGCAAAAGGCTCGGCCGCCTTTTCATCGCTCTCGCCTTGCTGCCTCTTGCGCTTGGAAGCTACTTTGAGAGCTGCCTTTGCTGCCGCAGGTTTTCTCCCTCTCTTCTTTACCTCAGGCTCAAGAGGAAGGTCGTGGCTAGCGCCGTCTTCCACTTCTCCTGCTCCGGCGCTTGTCCCTTCAGCGGCCTGACGGCAAGCGTTAGGGTCCGTATCAGGGGCAACGGGTCGAGCTCTTGCTCGGCGACTCCCCCCACGATCTGTCTTCGCCTCTGTATTGGCTGCCATGCACTCTGTCTTCCGTCCTTCCTCCTCCCTATGCGCCTTCTGCGCCCTCTCTCGCAGCATTGCTGCCTTGTCGACCCATTCCCCGGTCTCAAACACCCAAACAAATCGGAGAGGAGGCACTTGTCCGTTCACTTCAACCTGTGTGGGATCTCCAACCGCCTCGTAGCGGTGGTAGATGTCACGGCTAAAGAGGTCAGCAGGGAAGTGTGGTAAGCTAATAATCAAATATGCAGCTTACAGCTCTTCATCCCCTGCCCAGCCTAGGCGTACACGCCAATAGTCGACATCTTCTCCCTTGTCTTCGTGGTTGCCGACAAACAACATGAGACAACCCACTGTTTGAGCCAGTGTCAGTCAAGTACGTCATACTATACTGAGTGAATGAAATTCTAGAGCAGTTACCTTTTCGTGGACGGACTATGACTTCTATCTCAATCGGCTCTGTCTCTGATCCAGCTTCTCTGCTGGGTTTTGTTTTATCCACCACCTTGGCTTTCTTCGAGCCTCTGGTCTTTACCGGGGCCATTTTTCTTCCTTGGAAGAAAATCCTTGCTTATGTGCAAGCAGTCGCAGTTAAATCAGTCTTTATGGCGGTTTCCGGTGTAGTATGGCTATGTGCAGATGGCATGACATGGTATCGGACAGTCAAGATGGAAAGCAGCTCTAAGGAAGGATAAAGAGGGTAGTGAGAAGGGGTTGCAGCACATTTATACTCGGTGACATCTTCACTAACACCGAATAGACTACTTTTGGCTCTCTATTTGTACCTACTGTGGCTTCAATATCGAGGCTACGTTTTCACACATTCTCCATTGTTATACTCAATGAAGATCAACAAACAATTATATTTTGGACTTTGTCTTTTGTTTCTACTTCATTTAGTCTATCAAAAGCTCCGCCATCTTTGTTTATTCACAAATCCATTATCCCTAGCAGTTTGCTTATCATAGAGGTCTAGGCAGCTAGATCCTGGGGTATCGTATACAAACACATGCGTTTCGGCGCTTGGCTGTTGAGAGGTCTATAGCAAACAACTGCTTCTACTTTCTCCGGATACTAGATGGATGACAGGTTATAATTATAATGACTTGACTGACTTGACTACGTATTCAACTATAGCGATCCGTAATATAGCTGCTAATGGGAAAATAAATAAGGAGGTAGGTGTTCAATGTTCTCAATAGCCTCTGAATGGTAGTAATAGGATTAATAGGAGTAACCTTCGCTGCAACTCCCGATCTACCCCTGGAACTGTGTCAAGTTTCACCTATTTCCATTCCAATATCCAACTCGGGCCAGGAACACTCATGGGAATGCACATTGACTAATATTCGGGGCGGTAGTCCGCATTATCAACCCCAAATTTGTCCAGAGTCACGCTGACATAGGTTGGTTTCCCCCTTTTTCCTTTGCGAGAAACCACGCCAGTCACCTTTTTAACAGCCACTTTGTCCTCAGTTTCCTGGTCCTTGGTAACCTCCGCCTCCCAGTCCTGAGGCAGGGGAATTCTACCACTTGGTCCTCCTTTACTCTTCTTTTCAAGCTGTCGTAGTTTTCTCTTTTCCTTTGCAACAGCACGACGCCGCTTTTCAACGTACTCGTATATGTCATAGTCATAGTCGCGGCATTGTATTTTGAACTCTTTGTACTGAGCCCATCCACGCAAGCGTCGTTCAAAGACCGCATCACCAATACTTCGGATCACGATTTGACGTGGCTCCGAGTCCTTAGAGAAGAAGTTGTAGATCAACCTGACGTCGTCTACCCGGATTTGGGTGTTGGCCATCTTATTCATCCGGTTAAGCATGTCTTCGCAAACCAAGTCCACCGAAAGGATCTTAGCAGCTTCAAATACCCTGGCATACTTGGTATAATTCATTCGCTCGATCCAGACCAGACCTTGACCCTCGCAGGATTTCATCATCCAGTTGAAGATTATTATAAATGCTGGCTTCAAGCTACCATATATAGTAGCTATTATCTCTCCATCACATCCACGGCGATTGGCATGAGCTACACCTGCAGCCGGAAAACAGTCCTTGAGCACAGGGGAGAAGTATGCTACCATATTCCTAGGAATAGTGTTCAGGAGAACTTGGGGTGTGCTGTTCGGTGAGGCTGCGTGCATCAGCTTGACCCTGGGCCCTGACCAGAGGCTACATTGTACGGTAGTGGGTGTTAGAGCGGAGGAGAATAGATCGCATATGGTAGGGGAGTTCTCTTACCTACGAAGCTGAGGGCCGATGAGCTTTCCCATATCTTCTTCGTGTCAGGGGCAAGCGCTAACAAACAGCTGAATGGTTCTCGACGAGCAAATATAACCTCCCTGCTCAAGAATGTTTCCGTTGTCGAGGAGGTGCGAGAAGACGAAGTTAAAGGGGTGTAGGAGAGCCACTAGGAGGTTTATATCTATGAAGTCAGAGTGAGTTAAAGGCGGCTATGTCAAGGTATTTCACTTACTTTGGCTGCTAGCTCTTTCCATATACCTGGAAGTAACTGCTAGCCATCTAGTCCTCCTGTGAAATATATAGATATTGAATAAATATAGGAAATAATGCACCAATCACTATTTTGCCTCTTTAATAAATATAGGTAATAGGCAATCAAATTAGTGAAGTGATTTTTGAACAAACATCAAAGGAATTCTATTTGTTGGGTATCTTGTATGATCAAGCTGATTATTTTCAGTTTGGATAACTATGGTATCAACAAAAAAAAAAAAAAAGTAGTGTGTGTGTGAGAGAGAGAGAAGAAAAAAGAAAGAAAAATATAGTTGAGGATGGTATTGCTGCTAGCATCCTCAAGCAAGTAAACATAACTAAAAGGTATAGGGGAAACAGTCCTTTCTGTACAGTTGTTATTAGCAGTTAAAAGTACAAGCTCTTCAGTTCAAAGGCCCCCAGATCCATTATCATACCCCTTTATGGACCAGCCCACTCATCCAGTGCATCATACTCAGAGGTGGTCTTCATAAGCCTCAAAAGTCCATCTACCGCGATCTCATGGTTAACCCTAAGTGCCTTTCTATCGACTGTGGTTTTTTCTTTTTGAATAACAGGAACGGTTGCTGCGTTGTTGACACTTTGTGGCTGAACTGGCTGATTGTTGCCTGCTGGTTGACTAGGCAAGGGAACTTGAGGCTGCTGGTTCATGTTCTGCTGTGTTGGAGTGGCAGCATAGTCCCCGCCCTTCTGATCATTATTCTGGCCAAACGAAGCTACAGAAGGGCCTTGTTGCACCCCTGGGGCCAAATCAGAGCGCGTTTCGGAATGAGATGAAGAAGGGGTTGCTTGTTGGTTTGCAGTATTCCATGCCTGGGGGCACAAAGCTTCGAGCTCCTTGATGCGGCGGTCCATTTCGCTGTGGTCCCTGATATTTTTCATGGCTGTTTGGACCTTTTCTCGGAGTAACCCGGCTTTCTAATGAGGAAGTTAGCTTGTGCAGGAGCAAAGAGCAGGTAAGCATATATATTTATATCTTACCTGTTGGATAAATAGTTTCCTTGCCTCTGGGTCGGTGGGTATAGAGGAGGAAGAAGATATTGTTTGGCCTCTTGTAGATTTTTGTGGGGGATTAGGCGAGCTTAACGGGGAGTTCCGTTTAGCATTATTAATATTTCTATTGTTACTATAATTGCCACCCTCAGACTCAAAGCTCAAATTAAGGAGCGATGAGATGCTAGTGCTTTCCTGTGAGCATCCTTTCTCAGCAGCTTGCTCTTGACTATCAGAGGCTTTATTATGTGAAGAATACTGCAAGAAGGATGTCTAGATCTGTTAGTATCCATTTACTTAGTTCATATGCCATGGGAGAAACATACTTCTTTATCAATATCCATACTAGAATGTGTGCTCTCATCGTAGATATAAAACTCGTCCTCCCTCCTATTCTGGCTATTAAACGAACTGGCGGCGGTGCTAGGTCTATACTGGTCTACATCGACCTGGTCTATACTCCGTTTCTTCCCAACAAGTTGGATAGGAGACGACGGGGTATGGTTCCTAGTCACCTGCTTACTAACATTATCGTCACTGCCCATACTCGACGCTGAGTTGTGCTTTCGAGGCGACAGCAGCGCGTTTGTCGTCTTGTTGAGAAGAGCAGGCCGAGGAGGTGCAGACGAGGCTAGGGACATGTTTAAGGGTATTATTTCTCCCGGACGAGCTTGAACGGGAGAAGGTAAGCTGCCCACGAGATGCTAAACCGCATTCAAACAATTCGAAGTTCTAGCTGCAGCTATATGTACTCCACGTTAGGTGATGATGATGCAGTTAGGAATTCGAGCAGGCAGCTAGCTACCCTAGGTCAAGAACTAACAGATGAAGGCAAGCACCACTCAATATATATTAGGCACCTGGAGAAGTATTCCCATGATTGTACACAAGCGCCGTCTCTTCCAAAATGGTGCTTGATGTAAACAGTCGCGTCTGCTCGGTTTTACAGTCTATGGACGCGTAGGTCGACCCTTGGAGGCTCTTATCGATAAGCGCAGATTACCTTAAACGCTCCGTCCAATCATCATGCGGACCACCAGGGTTGGTTGCTTAGTAATTAAACTCTCTTTTATATTCCCGCAATTAGCCAATAAAATGAATTTAAATCTTAATGCCATGCAAAAATCGAGTATTAGCCAGTCATATCGCCAGAAAGTAAGTTTTTTCCTCTCGCGGGGCAGCGACGGCAGTATTATTTCCTCCACCTTGACTCATGCGTGCTTCACTCACGAGCAACAGGCGGGGACTCGACTTGAAGAAGCAGGTCAGCGAACAAGAAGAGCTTCAAAAAGTCCTGTTAAAAGGCATTAAGAAGAGTATCTAACTGTCAGATAGTTAGCAAGATCAGGAGAGCCACAGTGAGTGCAGCAGTCCCTAGTACCCCTCCAATCGATGCACCAACGCAATCAATCTGACAAGTTATCCTAACAGATGTCTGTTCTTACCGTTGCCCTGAAGGCTCCTGGAGAGACAATCCTTCCAGCTGTTGCTGTGGCCAGCTGTCTCATAGACGCCAATCCTAAGGTTGGATTGACCATTGTCTACGAGGAATCTGAGAAAGTTGGAAGCAAGGGTGGAAAGGTTGAGCTCAAGACGGATGACGGCTCCCTGCTCTATGACGCCGAGATCATCTCTTATTTACGCGACAAGTATGAGGTTCTACAGGCTGGAAATAAGGAGCAGGTAAGATTGCGCCCTTGTTGACCAGTGTCTGCTACGTTTGGCATTGAGCTAACTTTAACCTCTAGGTTGATGAGTGGTTGAACAGGGCCCTTGAGTTCACAAAGCCTGACTTTAAGGCAATGGATAAGCCCATGAAGGAGCTGGAGTCTCATCTCACCCTTCGCTCTTACATTGTGGGCTATGGTTTAACCTTGGCCGATTTGGTTGTTTGGGCTACCCTCCGTGGAAACCGGGTTACGAGTGGAGCCGTGAAGAGGTTCACAAACAGCACTGGTAGATGGTTCAACTTCATCGAGACCATGTACCCTTGGATCGGTCAAGGTGCGGCCGAGATGGCGGCCGGGGCCATGAAGAAGAAAGCAGCAGCTAGCGCCGCTGGTGCTAGTTATAACATTGGTCTTCCGGATACCGACAAGGGAGTAGTTACTCGATTCCCACCAGAGCCATCCGGTTATCTTCACATTGGTCACGCCAAAGCAGCTCTCCTCAATGATTATTTTGCGCATGAGGCCTACAAGGGAACTCTGATTTGCCGATTTGATGATACCAACCCTTCTAATGAGAGCCAAGAGTTTGTTGATGCAATCACTTACGACTTGTCATTGCTGGGAATCTTCCCTGACCGCATCTCGTTCTCCAGTGATTACTTCCAGGAGATGTATGAGGACTGTATTAAGATCATTAAGAGCGGTAATGCCTACGCAGATGATACTGAGAAGGAGCAGATGCAACATGAAAGATTTGAGGGAATTGCTAGCAAGCGTCGTGATGAAAGCGTTGAGGATAACTTGGCTCGGTTTGCTGAGATGAAAACCGGCTCTGAGGAAGGCCAGAGATGGTGTATCCGTGCAAAGATTTCTGTTGATGATACCAACAAGGCCATGCGTGATCCGGTTATCTACCGCTGCAACCTAACCCCTCATCACCGTACTGGAGATACCTGGAAGATATACCCAACATATGACTTCTGCGTGCCAATCCTAGACTCTCTTGAAGGCGTTACCCATGCCCTACGTACTAATGAGTATAACGACCGAAACCCGCAGTATGCCTGGTTCCAAAAGACACTCGGGATCCGTAGTGTCCATATCTGGGACTTCTCACGTCTCAACTTTATCAAGACGTTATTGTCTAAGCGGAAGCTTACCAAGATCGTTGATCAGGGCATGGTTTGGGGCTGGGACGATCCCCGAATGCCCACCATTAGGGGTATTCGTCGTCGTGGAATGACTATTCCTTCTCTGCGTGAGTATATTCTGAAGCAAGGGCCCAGCCGAAACATCATTAACATGGACTGGACGACCTTCTGGTCCAACAACCGCAAGTACATTGACCCGACATCCCCACGTCACACGGGTATTGACCAGGAGGATATGGTGCCAGGCACAGTGTCTGGTGCCACCGATGCTGATCTGAAGCCCCAGGAGAAGCCGAAACATCCAAAGAACCCTGAGCTGGGCACCAAGATGGTGTATTACTCTAAAGACATTTTGTTTGAGCAGGAGGATGCCAAATCGTTCAAACAAGATGAGGAGATCACCCTGATGAACTGGGGCAATGCAATTGTGCGCAAGATCACCACAGATGCGGCCAGCGGGAAAGTCACCGGCCTCGACCTCGACCTCCATCTTGCAGGAGACTTCAAGAAGACAGAGAAGAAGGTCACATGGTTGGCCAGAGACCAGAAGCTCGTCCCTGCCGAAATCTACGAGTTCGACTACCTGATCACCAAGGACAAGATCGAGAAGGACGAGGACTTTGAGCAGTTCCTCAACCCGAAGACGGAGATCAAGCACACCATCCTGGCTGACTGCAACCTGGTGAACCTGAAGAAAGGAGAGAGCATGCAGTTCGAGCGCAAGGGCTACTACATCCTCGACCAGGAGCCCAAGGATGGTCAGCCTGCCATCCTGTTCAACATCCCAACCGGTAAGTCTTAGAGGAGTGCGTCGCCGGACGAACGGTAGAATGATAAGGACCCTGCATGTATGTAACTACCAGACAAGTTCTAGTCAACTACCTAGCTATTTAAAATTAACTGTATCGGCCATCCGGCACATGACTGCAAACCACCCGACTGTAACTACATCCTCAAGGCCTCACGATCCCCCCAGTCCTCAGCGTCAAGTAGCTAAGCCAGCCGTAAGACAAGATCGATCTGCTCTGCCTCCCTCGGTAGATCGCCGTGCTCCCTGAATATCAGAGCTACCCGCCTGGCTGGCAGCGTTTCTGCGATGCAACACCCGACCTCCACCGTCCAGCAACCAACCATCCAGTGATACCAGTCAACTGCCTGTCCGACATGCATAAGCGCATTGCAATCACGACTGCTGGACGAGAGAAGCCATGCAGTGCGAGGGCAGACGGAGACCACGCCGCCTCCTGGTGATACAGCCATAAGGGCCAGAGCCATCCTCGCCGCCGGCCGTCAACATCAACAACCGTCGGGCCATCAGCCCATGAGCCATCGTCAACCCGCATCACCAGGCATGAGGGAGCTGCACCCCCCCCCGGGGCCCGCGGTGGCTGCTTACCTCACAGGCTTGCATTGGTTCGTTACCCCAGATGGCGGGCGGAAGTCAATCCATGTCAAAGAGCTAAGCTGATCAGCCGTTTGCAGGAGCAAGTGACGCCGCCGCCTGACCCTCAGGCCTTCTCTCCCGGCTATACGACCACCACACACAACTACAACAACGCGGATGGCTGGCCCATAGACTCCTCCCTCGATGATTGACTAGATAAGGGAGTCGATCCCCCGCAACAGCTCGAGAGAAGCAGTTGGCCGGTTAGCCAGTTACTCGATCACTCTGCCCTGCTGGCTGGCAACTTTACCTTGTTTTTTACGCTACAATGCTGCCCTGGGTCCTGCTCGCGTGGGCGGTGGCCTGCTCCGCCCTCGCTGGGGCATCTCGGCTTACCCCCTCTGTGCTGCCGCTGGTTGTCAGAAACCCGTATCTCAGCACCTGGCTCGCCGATGCGAGACATGAGCCGTGGTCGTCATGGCCTATCTTCTGGACCGGACAGCATATGGGCATGAGCATCATGGCCCATGTACCCAGCACGGGGAACACTTATCCCTTGCTTGGCCGGCCTCACGACTCCTTGGGGCCGAACAATCCAAATAACGGGTGCGTATATGTCTAGGTCCATATACATCTATCTAACCTGTGATAGATATAATGTATCCTACGCTCAGTTTCTGGGGTCAAAATACGATGCCTCGACTACCAATATGACGTACCTTATCCAACCAGAAGGTAAACACCTGGCTGGTGAATCCGTGAAGATAACCATCACCTTTCTCTCGCCAATTACCCCGACCTCGACCCTGCGCCAATCTATTCCCGCCGGTTATGTCACCATTCGCGTGGAGGGAAATATGAATGTCAACATATACATGGACATGAACGGTGAATGGGTCACCGGAGACCGTGGAAGCTCGCTTATCTGGAAGATGGATAACATTGTTGACACTGGGAAAGGGGAATCACTTTACCAGTGGCAGGTCAGCAGAAAGACAGAACAGCTCTTTACCGAGTTCCAGGACCGAGCAGAATGGGGAATGCTACACTTCCTCGCTCCCCAGGTAGAGTCTCCTTCAAACTACTTGGAAACCTGCATACTAACTATATAAATAAGGGGGTGAGATATGAATCCGGAACGTCGATGCTCCTAAGAACTAGATTTGCAAGAACTGGTGTCTTGCAAAACAGAAATGACGAGCGTTTCCGTACCGTCATGGACGAGGAGCCGGTCTTTGCTTATTCCAAGGCCTTCAACCTCAATGGAACAGATGACGAGCCAAATATAGAGGCCATCCACGATGAAGTCACCTTCACCATTGCTCATACCCAGGATCCTGTTGTCCAGTTTGCCTCTGCCCGTGGTTTGACTCTTATGAAGCCCCTCTGGGAGTCGTATTTCCCAGATGTGAAGAGTCTGCTCAACTTCCACTATTTTGATTTGGACAAAGCCAGGGTTCTTGCGCATAGATATTCGAACCAGCTTGCAAGAGATGCCCAGCTATCTGCCGCTGAAGACTATGTAGATGTCGTTGCCCTCACTGCCAGGCAAGTCCTCGGTGCCACCTCCTTCTCCGGGACCTCGGATAATCCACTTCTCTTCCTCAAGGAGATTTCTTCCAATGAAAATTGCCAGACTGTAGATGTCATATTCCCTTCGTTCCCATTTTTCCTCTATACCAACCCTAGGTGGTTGGCATATCTCCTGGAGCCTTTGATCGAGCATATGCTAAGTGGACAATACCCTAACAACTACTCCATGCATGATCTGGGTGCCCACTTCCCAAATATGACCGGACATCCGGATGGAAAGGATGAGTACATGCCTGTCGAGGAATGCGGTAATATGCTTATCATGGGTCTGTCTATTGTCAACTCCCTGAGATTCCCACCAGAGGCCAATACTACTGCTCCCTGGTATCCAGGCACCCTCGAAGCCCGAGATGCTGAACCTGATGTTGTTGGATTGTTCCCTCTTCGTGATCTTCAGACAGTTGGTGGTATTGACAGACTCGACAGCGTCTGGGGTGTCGGCCCCGATGCCACAAACTTGGCGCGGAAATGGGTTGAGAAATCGTATAGGCTTTGGAGACAGTGGACTGGTTATCTTGTTGAGTTTTCTCTAGAGCCACATAATCAACGTAGGTTTAAAAATCCCTGCCGGAGATTTATGGATCTTGCTAACCTCCTAGTCTCCACTGACGACTTTGCTGGATGGCTTGCGCTTCAAACTAATCTTGCCCTCAAGGGTATCGTTGGTATAAATGCGATGAGTGAGATGTCTCGCTTTGTTGGAAAGACTGATGATTATAAATATTTCAAGGTCAGTCACGCTGCACTGTTTGCAAGTAGGTAATACCATTAATTAACTGGCACTAGAACATCTCCGATACCTACATCACCAAATGGGAAGGGTTTGGGTTCTCCAGAGATGGCACCCATGCCAAACTCTCATATGACTGGTATGGATCCTGGACTACTCTATACAACATGTTTGCGGATGCCCTTCTCTGCTTCCATCTTGACGGAACGGAGTACGATACCCATCCCCGTACACTGGACGATCAGGAACCAATCGCTCCACCCCCAGGCAAAACTGGTTTCATACCAAGGCGCGTCTATGAGAAACAATCAAAGTGGTACGCCAATGTACGCCAGAAATATGGCCTCCCACTTGACAGCCGTCATCTCTACACGAAGTCCGATTGGGAGTTCTTTTCCATGGCCGTTTCCAGTCCCTCCGTGCGAAGCGAAATCCTCCAATCGTACGCCAAATGGGTCAATGAAACTTCTACTGATCATCCTCTTACTGACCTGTACAAGACAGAAGAAGATGGAGGCTATCCAGGACCAAACTTCTTTGCTAGACCCGTTGTTGGTGGACATTTTGCCTTCCTTGCTTTGGAGAAGGCGTGCAATGGAAAGGCCACCGATGGACTTAAATTCCTGGATGACAAGGATAACAACTCTCCCGAGGATATCCCCGAGGATGATGTCCACGATGGTGATGCCGATAATGAAGACTCTCAGTCTCCTATCCATGACTCAGATGGCTCGGAGGTGAAAGCCGGAGATCAAGCCCAGTTCCCCATACAGGACATGGATGACTTGCAGATGACTATCGTTAATGAGGATGACTAGTTAAACGAACCGGCATTGGAAGGACTCATTGTTTCTGATATCATTCCCCCTTTCTTATTACCGTTATTTGTACTGCGTCCCCCCACAACCCACTTCCCTTTTTTATTATATACTTCTCCCTTCAACATGGCGTTACTTTCGGACATTCATTCGGATTCTTTACCCGTTAAGACCCTCTTCCTACCCTTGGCTTTGCTGTGGCTAGATAATGGCTTCATGTCCTCCCCTACAAGGCGAGAATAGACCAATGCTGCAGATATCTCGCTGCTGCGCGGCGAGAGACTAGATAGTTACTGCTTTTGCTGGTCAAGTTGAGAGACACCTTGGATCTCTCGTAGATCAGATCCAGGGAATCAAATCAAATCGTTATTTTTAATATATTATCCCTGCCGGTAAAGTCTAATATCATACATCATGGGTATGGGGAGAATTACCGCAAGCCGCTGTACAGAGTACCTCCAGTGCCAATTAACCAGTGGGTTTGTGCCGCGGATACGCCATAAGGCCAGCCAAACCCGCCCATCCGGAAGTCGACTTGTGAAGAAAGCATAGGTGATAAAGGAAAGACTAAGGTCAGTGTTGCATCAGGCTATTAAATCAAAAATACAGTCGAACCCCAGTGAAACCAGGCAACGGTAAAAGGTGAGTTGCAACAGTAGGTATTCAGATTCTCCTCCTTTTTTCTTTCGGTCATACTGGGCGGAATAAGGAGTGACTGAATCTAAGGTGATTCATCTTCGCATCCAAGGGAAAGGAGGATCGGGCATAACACTGTACTGAGGAGGACGAGACTCCAAACGACGAGATAAGGCAGCAAAAAGGTCCTCACGAGCTTTCTTACGAGCAGATGGCAATGACTCGCATTCCGGAGGCCCTGCCACGCAATCGTACCAGTCACAGCTGCTGATGTGTGGGCGACATTCTGGCTCAGTAGTGAAACCATTTGCACGAGCTTCAGCAACAAGATCTTCCAGAGCATTAGGGGTTGGATCTCTCGCCTGTCGACCAAAAGGGAGGTAATTGTACTGTGACACGATTTCCTCCTCGCCGTTATCATGGTACACAAGCATGGGCAGCAGTGGCTCGCGAACAGCCCTGCGGTGCGGTGGCAGTTCTCGGGCAGGAGGCACCATGGGAGATGGGAAAGAAGAGAATTGAACCTGGCGAGCAGGCAGAGATATTTCTCTACTGACTATTTCACCCTGGGACGACCAGCCGAGTTGGCGGAAGGGAAGTGATTTCTTGTAGACCTCGTAGCCGCCGCATGATGAGCCTTTAATTGGTGGGAATAGTTCTGGCTCTAAGGCCCTGAAGGCCGGGTAAGGTGTAGGAGGAGGCGATAGGCTCTTGTAGGTGCTTTCTTCTTCCTTGAATGTGTTGCCCTCGTTGTACTCTAGGCCGTTTGAGAGGCGGCTGTTAGGGGTTCCTGTGGTCTCTGAGCCCCTTATCGGATATTCGTCTGCATTGTGTCCCTTGTACTTCTTGTCGAGCACCAACTGGTGCTGCGGTTCTGACCGCATGCCGACGACATATTCACTAGCAGTTTTTAGGCTGCCGAAGTCGAGCTTGTAGAGGTTCTCGTGCTCGCATCCGAAGTGGACTCTGGGCTGAGGACCTGGGCTGTCCAGGGCAAAGATGGAACAGCTCGAATGAGCGGTAGTTGGCGTCTTGACAACCTTGTCGTAGAAGTCCATTTTTCTCAGGCGTATATCTAGCGAGACTTCAGGGTATTCAGGTATCAAACTGGAAATTGAGAAGAGAATTATTGACGGTGCCTGGGAGTGGTAAGCAGTGAAAGCCGCAGCTGAGAAGACCCAGATATCAAGGATGTGCGAGTGTGAGCTAGCTAGGCGAGCAGAAGCCGATATTCCCGGCCACCAGGAGGACAGACAGAGCCTGCTGAGCAAGCCTAGAGGGAAAGCTCTTTGTTCAGGGAGCGTGAGGGTGAAGCTGTGTTCTTCACTGTGTTCAAATTCAGGGGGCTGGGGGTTGAGGGAGAGAAGAGGCTTCTGCAGATTTCCAAAGTGAGGAAGAAGAGATGGCATTCAATGTTGATGACCATCGATATCTCCTGACTGGATACGCTATGTCAAGTTATGAAAATGGTATATTGTAGATGTCTCCCTGGCGTTTGACTGGCCTCTTGCTCCAGTGGTATTCAGCGGCAAAAAGGGGGGCATGTGTAGGGTATCTATATAGAGCAGCAGGCATATCCCATCCATGTCTTTCGTATATTAGAGAGAAGAAAGACGGGCAGTAGGGTATAGCCGTCAAGACAGATCATTAGAGAATGCTCTTTCGGTTTGATTCCCCTAGAATATGTTATAAACGAAGACGCACCCAAACCCATCTCTACATATCAAAGCTTTCAGCGCCATTAAAAGGGAGAAACAGACACGAGTAGCCCCTACTTGTATGACGCAGACGAGCTTAAGACGGCAAGGCAAATCAGACAAGCGCCCCCTATCCGGCTGGATTCCTGTACGGAGAAATTAAGAAGTAAGGCAGATAGAAAGAATAGGAAATAAGGGGGAGAAGCTGCAGAAAGAAGGGAACAAGAGGATGATTCAATTCGTGGAGAAATATAGTATCCTGACGCAGGAGACAAAAGTAAAAAGGCCGGAGGAGAAAGATGAAGAAAAAGTCCATGAAGATATGAAACAAAAATTCGCCTCCAATTGTTTCCCCTTCTCCTAATGGCCGTCTTTGCCTCTCCCTTTCCCATGATCAGCTTTTGTTGGATGAAGAATATTAGAAACATGAAAAAGGGCCTTTTATTGATTCTCTGCTTAGATGAAATTTTTGTTAATTGCATCAAGAAAGAAAGGAAAAAGAGTTATTTGTTAGTTGAGTAGCAGCCTTGGTGTAAGACCGGCCCTGTCACCCTTCTTAGGGAGCCAGTCCATGTACATGGAGGTGTAGGGATCTGCTCGCTTATTTGCCTCCAAGAGAAGGGAAGTTCTTCTCGTCGACGGTAGGGCCTGTAGCATGGGAAGGACCACCGCGAGGAGCTCCGCGACCATTTCCACGGCCACCACGGAAGTCACCACGTCCGCCACGACCGCCACGACCGCGATCACCGCCACGGTCACCACCACGGCCACGGCCACGGGAGGAGTCGCCGCCACGTCGCGGGGCCTCCACGAAGCGCATGTCGACCTCAAGGACGTTCTTCTCCTTGCGTTGACGCTCGCGCCTGGTCTCCTTGCTCTGGCCTTTGATGTACTCGTCCTCCTCGTCATCGCGCTTCAGCTCCTTGGCAGCGGCCCATTTCTTGTCCATCTTGGCTCCCTCGTTGGCCTTGCGGGATTCTTTTGCGGCGAGTTCGAGCTTGGCCTGGGCTTGCTCAGCGAGGTAGTCAGCATATGATTTGCTCTTGTCCTCTGGCTCCTCAACAGGCTCCTCAGCATTAGCCTCGGCGGCTTCTTTCTCCTCAGAGCGGGCAATGTCTTCTCCAGCACGCTCATCCTTCAAAGCAGACTCGCCAGAGCGAGAACCCCAGCCCTGTTCGACCTGCTTCTCTGTGATACTGCAGATGGGCAAAAAATAACACTAATTAGTAGCCGCTCTTTATAGCAAAATGAAATCTCACAATATTAATGATGACCGTAATAATAATAGTACTTACGTTCTGTCGGTGCGAGATTGGCGGTCATCCCGAATGTTGTAGCCGCGGGTATCACGGTTTCTATGAGCAGCTGGCGGAGCGCGGTCACTGGGGGCATCGGTTGGCCGATTGCGGTTGTTCTGAGATCCGGCGTTGCGGTCACGGAATGCTGATATACCCAAGATCACCTTGTTAGAAAGAAACGTCCCTATAGATTGATATTGATAATGCTGATAGGGCGGATAAGTTTGGATGTGGTCGTGCTCGCCCACGTGACATCATAGTGGAAAAATCGCCACAGCCAAAAAACAAATAGAAGAAAAGGTGGGATTGACAGATATGGCGGGCATGGGAGAAAGATCGAGTATATAGTCTATTTACCTTGCTCGTTTCCAGGGAGTCTGGGTCCACGGTTGCCACGAGGAGGAGGAACAGTGTCGCGAGGCTCGCTTGGACCGTCGCGCTTGCCACGGCGAGGAGCGGTCTTGTCGACGACCTGAACTGGAGGTTCCGGCTCTCTGTTGGGATCGAGCTCAGGGTCGTTGCCTGTGTGTTGGGCGTAGATGTTAATGTCTGTAGATCAAGATAGTAGCCGACAATCTGGGGACGTGGGGGTATAGTGTAGCGTCTTATTCGATGGTAGCAGGATAACTCATACCAAGAAGCTCGTACATGTTCTATATCAACCCCCCAAAACAAACATGTCAGCCAGCCGATTGTAACGATGCACCAAGCCTCTCAATTGCCCATGTAGAGAGCTGCCGGGTAAGAGAATATGCAATGCAGCAGGAAGGGCAAGCCGAACGCACCTTGGACCGGACGTCCGCCATGACGCCTGGATTTGATATTGCCTTCCTTGGAAGGCTTTCTGTTTATTGCAACAATTCGGGGATATGGAGCGACCTGGACTCCAGAGCAGAAGGCAGAAAACCCCTTAGCGAGCAAAGGAATTCGGCCTCGTGTGCTGTGGCGATGCGGTGTTGTCGACGGTGCGAAGGAGGTGTTGTTTTTTCGCTGTCGCTTTCTCGCCCGTCCGCTTATCTGCCTGCGTCGCCCTTTTCGCGCCCGCCCGGAAAAAAAAAGGCGCCCCAAGCCTGTTTCGGAGTGCAGCTTTTTGCTTCTTCGGGTTAAGCGAGTTTGTTTGGGCCGCGCGGAGGAACGTCGGGCCGGCGCTTGCGGGCGGCGGGACTTAGGGCTTAGGGCAGATGTCCCGAAGAGGAAGGACGTCGATAAGAGACTCAATAGACAATCGGCGGAGATACAGACAGAGATACTACGCAGCCAGGCAAGATATACAGTACTGATGATGATGATGATGATGATGATGATGATGATGAGCATTGTCCGTACATAAAGTGGGTATCGAAAGAAGTCGTTTTATTCTACCCTCCTGTTCCCTTCCTCCAACAGACAAACGACAAGAAAAAGCAAACAAACAAGCTTAACGCCTCGAAAATGCAGCAGACTCCCTCCTTGAGCTGACTGTAGATCCCTTCCTCCGCCTGCAAAGTAGCAGGTCCCTAGTAGCTAACGATATACTCCATAAAACACCTCATATATCTCTAATATGTCGTACCAACATAGGCCCAAAATGGGCCTGGCCAGATTGGTCTGGCATGGTCAAAGATGTTGCATAACCAGTCACGTCAGGACGATATATATATATATGCAAGAGACCTTTTTTTTTTTTTTTTTTTCCATTCTTTACCTTACTGCCGCCCATGGCTCTGAGTATAGGTAAAGGGTGTGGGGAAGTGCATGCTGGCGGACAGGCCAAATGGGTCGGGATCCATCATGGGGTCGAATTGTTCAATATACGATGTGCTAGCTGTCATACCTTCAGCATCGCTGCTGGTTGATATCGGGTGGTGCCGTTGCTGTATGCGTGGCAGAGACTGCTGAGACTGGTAGTCTGCTGCAGTGCTGCCTTCTGGCGGATCGGGTCCGTCCACAGAGCTTGAACGAGCATCATATTCCTGTTCTGCACGACCAGTGTTAGCAAAGTAATGTCGAGGATGGAAGCATAGGAGAAATAACAAGTGGGATGGCCTGACTTGCCTAGCTGGTTATATTGCTTTTGAAAGGGGGAGAGGTAGTAAGTAGGCGGTATCCGTGACGGTAGGATAGGAGTTGGCTCAATACTTTCGGTAGCAGCGGAAGTGATTCCCGGTCCAAAACCACCTGCCTGGGGAGAAAGTTGAGCTCGATGGTACGGGTGAGGCTTGTACTGCTGCTGGTGCTGTATGTCGGCTGCCGTGGGAGAGACGGCCCCCTGCAAACCAAAAGCTGTTGACTTTGTTGCCACTGGAGACGACACATGAGAGGACGGAGAGGTCTGGAGCTGCGGAGACTGCATAATGTAGCTCCCATCACGATGTACTTGTGACACGGGAATAGGCTCTAACTTCGGGAGATGTGTGGTTGGCCCTGGGGGAGCCTGTTCTAAAGATGAGCCGTGAGATGGCTGACTGGTTGGCAGCCTGTTAGGGGGTAGATTCGGGCTACCACCCCTGAGACGTAGCTCAGCCTGGACGTCGACACCTATGTACGTCAGTATTCGACTCTTGTTAATAATATGGAACACCGTGTAGGTTTAGGGGTTGGCTACCTTTCTCCAGCAGAATCCTTTCCAATAACGAGTTCTTATATCGCAGCATAAGGCATTCGTCCGCGGCGTTGCGGTGGCTTTGTTGTAAGCTATGTAACGCTTCCTCGTTATGCTTTATTGTGGTCTCTAGCTGTTTTATATATTCGGTTCTTCTCTCGCGAAAGGCCGCCTGGGCCTGTCTGTTCCGCTGTTTTCGTTCTTCAGAAGTAGCATAAATCTGAAGCAGTGGGCACAACCAAAAGGCGGAGTGCAAGAAGCACACCACCCAGGTATCATAGTGTTAGCCTCTCGTGCCCGTACAAATCCAATAATCGGAGAAGAAAGATTGCGTAAAGTAGGGGAGAGACAGTGGTGTATCAATATCCTCTCTCCCCTTTTTTGCAGGAAAGGCCAAGTACCTACTGGCTTTCTTCCCCCCTTGCGCTTCTGTCTTTGCACAGGGTCCTGAATAACAACCTCCCCCTCAGGCTCGGGTGTAGATAAAGACGAACTGCATGATCCCTCGATTGTATGGTGTGGCTCGGACTTTGTAGCTACGTTGTCCATATTGACGCCATTCCTCGATCCACTATGGTCGATAGGCACTGATCTCATTTGGCGGGCTCGTTGCAGCAGGTTGGTATTGAACGGCCTTGATCCTGAGCTTCTCAGCCTGCTTTCCCTTGACGCCGACGATTGCTAGAGGGTGAGAGCCTGTTTTACCAGCCCGCACGCAGGAATGTATAAATATATAAACAAAAAGCCACCTTGAGCTGGATTGGGCGAAGGATGAAACTGGCGTCACGGGTACGGCGCAGAGAGAATGCACCAATTGGTCATAGGTAAAAGAAGCGCGCGGCTGGCGAAGGTAGTTGAGCAGAACTGCTTTTGAGGGAAATAGAATAGCCAGCGTCTTATTGAAGCTATGAAGTCGTTTCTGTGTCTTCCCTAGAACTTCACTGTAGCGGCTCCAAGTCGATCCAGCGTATCTCCATCCGGTGGGCTCGGGGGACGTTAGGGGTGTGGAGAAGCGGATGATAGACTCGTAGTTGAACTGGGGGAGGATCCAGGGAGGGAAAATAGAAGAGGAAGAAAAGCCGACGGCCGCCGCTCAAGTAGTTATAACTTAAGTACTCCGTAGTTACGGGGTAACTCGCTGAAAGCTCCTGTTCTCCTTGACAGGCTGCTACTTGAAAAGGGCTAGAGGGATTTGATCCGGCTTCAAGTATATCACGATGGCCTTTGCATAAAGCGGTCGAGGAACGAGCGAGCGAACAAGCAAGCAGGGGAGCGAAGGCCGTCCGTTTTCTACCCTTGCTCCAGAGCCTAGCTCTCCAGTCCTTGCGTCTTCTCTCAAGATCTAGAAAACTGTTGCTTATGCTATCCCTTGTCTAGGTGGGAACTCTCTTTCGTTTCCTAGCACATCTTTTCCTCCTGTCCGTTCCCTTGGGGCGCCTCTCTCTTTGCCTGTCTTCTCGTCTTCTCTCTCTCTCTC